GTGTGTGTGTGTGTACTAAGTGTGTTGTGTGTGTGTGTGTACTAAGCGTGTTGTGTGTGTGTGTACTAAGCGTGTTGTGTGTGTGTGTGTGTGTGTACTAAGTGTGTTGTGTGTGTGTGTGTGTGTACTAAGCGTGTTGTGTGTGTGTGTGTGTACTAAGCGTGTTGTGTGTGTGTCTGTGTGTACTAAGCGTGTTGTGTGTGTGTGTATGTATGTGTGTGTGTGTCTGTGTGTATGTTTGTGTTTGTGTGTGTGTGTGTGTACTAAGTGTGTTGTGTGTGTGTGTGTGTGTGTGTACGAAGTGTGTTGTGTGTGTGTGTGTGTGTGTACGAAGAAGTGTGTTGTGTGTGTGTGTGTGTGTGTGTACTAAGCGTGTTGTGTGTGTGTGTGTGTACTAAGCGTGTTGTGTGTGTGTCTGTGTGTACTAAGCGTGTTGTGTGTGTGTGTATGTATGTGTGTGTGTGTCTGTGTGTATGTTTGTGTTTGTGTGTGTGTGTGTGTACTAAGTGTGTTGTGTGTGTGTGTGTGTGTGTGTACGAAGTGTGTTGTGTGTGTGTGTGTGTGTGTACGAAGAAGTGTGTTGTGTGTGTGTGTGTGTGTGTGTACTAAGCGTGTTGTGTGTGTGTGTGTGTGTATGAAGCGTGTTATGTGTGTGTGTGTGTACTAAGCGTGTTATGTGTGTGTGTTTGTGTGTGTGTGTGTGTGTACGAAGTGTGTTGTGTGTGTGTGTGTGTACGAAGTGTGTTGTGTGTGTGTGTGTGTGTACTAAGCGTGTTATGTGTGTGTACAGGAGGGCCACGTGTCCACGGACAGCCTATCGCGACAACTGGAGGGAGAAGTGACCGCCAGCACCAGTCTGAGCCGCTCCTCCTCCAGCACCGCGGAGATAACGCTGCGATGTGGACGACCGCACAAGGACGCCTACTTCCTGTCTTTTGACGGGGGATCGCAGGGTAAACTATCACTGTGTCTGTCTGTCTGTCTGTCTGTCTGTCTGTCTGTCTGTCTGTCTGTCTGTCTTGTCTGTCTTGTCTGTCTGTCTTGTCTGTGTCTGTCTTGTCTGTGTCTGTCTGTCTGTCTGTCTTGTCTGTGTCTGTCTGTCAAAGTGTGTGTGTGTGTTTTTGTGTTTCTCTGTGCGTGTATGTCTGTGTGTGTGTGTGTTTTTGTGTGTTTGTACATCTGTGTGTATATGTCTATCAGTGCATCTGTACATGTGTGTGTGTGTTGCTGTGTATGTATCAGTTTGTCTGTACATATATGTATGTCTATGTGTCTATCAGTGTGTTTGTACATCTGTGTATGTGTCTATCAGTGTGTCTGTACTTCTGTGCTCCATCTCTCTGACTCTTTCCCGCCATCTCTCTGATTCTCTCCCTCCATCCCTCTGACTCTCTCCCCTCTCCTTCCTCCCTCTCTGACTCTCTCCCTTCAACTCTCCCTCTCTCTCTCTCCCTCCATCCCTCCGTCCCTCTGACTCCCTCCTCCCTCTCCTTCCCTCCCTCTGACTCCCTCCTCCCTCTCCCTCCCTCCCTCCCTCAAACTCCCTCCTTACTCTCCCCCAGGCAAACTGTCTAGCACAGAGAGTGACTCGTCCTACGTGTCCCAGAGTTCCTCACAGGACGACAAACCTCGCACAGGTGGGTACTCTCGCACAGATGGGTACACAGGTGGGTACTCTCACACAGGTGGGTACACAGGTGGATACTCTCGCACAGGTGGGTACTCTCGCACAGGTGGGTACACCCACACAGGTGGGTACTCTCGAACAGGTGGGTACACAGGTGGGTACACCCACAAAGGTGGGTACTCTCGAACAGGTGGGTACTCTCGCACAGATGGGTACACTGGTGGGTACACACGCACAGATGGGTACTCTCGCACAGGTGGGTACACTCACACAGGTGGGTACTCTCGCACAGGTGGGTACTCTCGCACAGGTGGGTACTCTCACACAGATGGGTACACTCACACAGATGGGTACACTCACACAGGTGGGTACACAGGTTGATACTCTCGCAGAGGACAACAAACCTCGCACAGGTGGGTACATACACACAGGTGGGTACATACACACAGGTGGGTACATACACACAGGTGGGTACACAGGTGGATACATACTCACAGGTGAGTAGACTCACACAGGTGGGTACACAGGTGGATACATACTCACAGGTGAGTAGTCTCGCTCAGGTGGGTACACTCGCACAGGTGAGTAGTCTCGCACAGGTGGGTACACTCGCACAGGTGGGTACTCTCGCACAGGTGAGTAGTCTCGCACAGGTGGGTACACTCGCACATGGGTACCCCCGGCGGCTCCCTCATACATTCTCAGGTACGCTTACTTCTCAACACTGGCTCATAGATTTTCAGGTACACTTACTAATGATAATGATATGATTATGATGATATAATAATTATATGATGGTATGATATTATATGATAATGATATGATGATATGATATGATGATGATATGATGATATGATATGATGATATGATATGATGACGATATGATATGATGATATGATATGATGATGATATGATATGATGATATGATATGATATGATGATATGATATGATGATATGATATGATGTTGATATGATATGATGATGTTATGATATGATGATAATAGTAATGATATGATGGCGATGTTGATATGATGGTGAAGATGATGATGGTTGGTGTGTGTTGTTTGTCCCCGCAGGGAGCCGCTCCATGAGCTCGGGCGGCGACGACGCGGAAGATGAACAGTCCAGCAGCTTCCAGTTTGCCAACGCGCGGCCAGCCTCCGGGGACTCTGGCGGGGGTG